TCCAAATTAATAAAATCCATGGTCCCATGTTTTAATTCCTTATGAAAGCAAATAAACAAATGGTTAGGTGCTTTACATTGCCATTAGATAGGAAGATATCGAAAGACAGAAACTGGAAAACTGGAAGCGGACAATCGTCACTTACATGCAAATAGCCGGTTAAACAAAGTAAGATTAATAATATTCTATATTTATACTAGCTTCAAGTATTAATTTTTAATGAATAATTAAGAAAAGGACATGAAGAATTAAAAGCACACAGTTGCTTATTGAACGAAGATCAAAGAAAGTTGCCAAATATCAGAATTAATTAACTGATATAATTAAAGAAACAAAGGTACATTCACCTGAAGAAAGTAATACTGATTCAAGAAACCTCACTAAAAGAAGAATAAATATATATAATTACAGTTGGCATTTTGAAGAGGTATTTTTCAGCAAAATATTATATACCAAATAATTATAATATTAATCATAATTACTTATAGTTAAAGGATTTGTTAATATATTCGGAGAAACATTCGAAATCCATTCAAGTATTCCAGCCAACTCGTAAATGATATTATGATAATTTATATTTCTATGACGTGACGCCACCAGAAGGCTTGCCGAATTGGGCATACAGTTTGGAAGAAACTTCAGAACATGAACAAGAAAAAGAGACAAAAAAAGGAAAAAAATCGACAGATAAATCTAAAAGACAAAAAATTACCAAATATGAGGAATCATCAATGTATTCAGAAGGTGAGGAACAAATTGAAGAAAGTGCACGAATGGATGAAATTAGGAGGGCAGTTAGATTAGAAAAAAAAAGCGAAAAATCTCGGAAAACATTCGATAAGGTAAAATCAATTGGGACTAGTTTTAAAAGAATCAAGCCAAGATCTTTAAAGGGAAAAGAAAAGCAAGTAGAAAAGGAGGAAGAGGAGGAAGAGGGAAATGATGAATAATTTAGTTAATTGAATTTGTAATTTTTTAATAAATTTCGTGAAATTTGAATTTTTTGCTGCAGTAATTTTTTTGCTGAATTTTTTTTCTGCAATAATTTTTTTGCCAAATTTTGCAGTAATTTTTTTGCTGAATTTTTTGTCGCAGTATCAATTTTTTTACCGAATTTTTTGTCGCAGTATTAATTTTTTTTGCCGAATTTTTTGTTGCAGTACCAATTTTTTTGCCCGCAAAATTTTTTTTTGCCACAATATTGCCAGATTTTGTGCTGAATTTTTTTTTTGCAGAATACCAATATTTTTTTGCCGATATTTTTAATGCCGAGTGGTAGCAATCATAAATAATACGTCAATATTTTTATTATTAAATTTTGCCAAATTCAGCAATAATTTGGCAGCCGAATGATATAATTTCAACTAGTATTAGAATCAAGACATATGGCTATAACCTTTATAAATAATATCATTTAGATAGCAAGATCTAAAGATGATATAAAAAAGATCTTAGAAACAACAAGAATCTTTTACAAAGCAAATAACTTATAGATTAATAATAGTAAATCTATACTACTGTAGTAACTATTTTTTTTTTTTTGAGTACCTGTAGTCAGGTTAAATTGTCAGTTTATTAATCAATTGAAAACAAAAGTACATTTTCATTCGAACAGCATGATACATACCACAGCTAAACTATTATTCTAATCTAACTAACTTGTCATAAGCATAAAAGCCTTTAAGTTTGGCCTTGGGGACAATATTTCGTTCCGCAGTATCTTTGGGTAAAGAACCTTCTAGTCCATTGTATCATTGACAGCAGGTTGTCACTGTTGTATGTCTGACCAAGCTGCTGGAATACAGGAAACTACAAAAGGATGGGTTGAAAAAAAGGGAAGGGAGGATATCTAAAAATGTCTAAGCAGACAACAAGAAAATGAAAGAGTAAAAATTGAAAAAAAAATATTTCCAGCTTCCTTCAAAGACCTGCTTCTCAAGACCTATTCTCAATAAGAAATGCACAATTGGAATATCCTTTCTTTTCCTGACCGTCTGAGGAACTTATTCATTCTTGATCTTGATTTCCTTCTTGTATACCATCTGAGGAGACTTATCACCTAGTGGAAGTCTTTACTTCCAGAACACACTTGGTTTCAACCTTCTTTGGACAGTGATTTTTTATTCACCTATGGTAGAAAGATGACTTATGATAAACCCCAGATTCTTATGTGACCTAGTAAGAACTAGGTCATGTTGTTTTAGTATGATACCTTCCAACAGCCACACCTAATTAAAGAAATTTTACTGGTATACATCTTCCATTACCCAAAAGATTAGATTCCCCAACAATTCTTTTGCCTTGTAATGGTGAGAGGTTCTCAAGAGTGGTGGGGATCCTTATCGATCGTTATATCCTTCAACAACTTCTGGGGAAATGCATTCTCAACTGTAACCAAAGGGTTGAAGCTTAATATAAACTAGAGACTGTTCGGTCTTATTACCTGACCAGGATAAGAGGAAGACCTTGGTCTTGAACTTTGTCTGATTGGGATGATAGGAGAAAAAGATCTCAGCTTGAACAAATATTAGTTTTTTTACCACCTGGCGACTTGTTGCTCGTATCTTATTGGTCTCATGGTACTTGATCTGTAGATTAACTCAATTGAAGGAGTGGGACGGACACGGGACACCAATCAACTCTTTCTATCACCAATGACATCATCAGAACACGTGAGGTGAACAGTAGGTACTTGTTTATATTCAGCTACTAACGTGTTTCGTGTCCACCAATCATATTTTGCAATAGATTGTGTCACCTAAAATTCAGGATCAAACTGAGGTTGGCAAAATTCTCCAGAAAACCAAAAAAATTTTTGGGTGACTATAAGAGAGAAGAAACAGTGGGTAGACACTTTGAAATATGGCTTGATGTTTGCCACCTCTCACTACAGAAAACCTCTATAGACATGCTTCAATATGAAAGGCTTCAAGTACTATACTATTAGTTCTTCTTCCTTTTAGAATTTTCTTGCCATAGGTAGAGAAGATGTTTCTTGACTTTTCTAGGTCACAGGAAGCCAAGTTTTTAATTGAAAACGAATATAAACAAGAGGAAGAGTTTGGGAGTGTCTCTTAAAGTAAAACTTTAAGTCAGTTTAAGAATAGTGTTAAAACTTTATTAGCAAAGAAATAAAAAATTTCTTGTGATTATCTTTTTTGTGTGTGGGCAGAGGATCAGCAAAAAGAGTTTTAAAGTAAATAGTGTTTTATCTATATTTTAGTTAAGTATAAAAAATAATTATATTGAATTATTGATCTAAAATAAATATAAAAAATTTTTGTTATTTTTTTTCTAATTCTTAGGTATTATTATACAATAATTGTATATCAATAATTAGATAAATTATATCAATTTAAAAAATTATTAAGATATTTATTTAGAAATTTAAATTCACAAATATTTGAAAGGTTTTGAACCAAAATCCTTTGGTAAATGAAAGTATCTTGATGATTATTAAGATTTGTATAATCGTATTTTATTATTGTTATTGTTTAATAATTTAATCAAATAAAATTTTCTCAAGTTGTAGATATTTGAGTAACTTTTTATTTTACAATTTAAGAAGTTTTATTCTTTTTTTTAATTGAATATTAAATTTGTTGCTTATTTTATGAAGATTCATGTTATTTTTTTTATAATTGATAATAATTTTAAGTTATTCTTGAGCATATCAATGTCTTTATAATTTTTTTATTGTACATGCTTTTAAAGCACTACTATTATAAGTAATAATCATTTCAAATGAATAAATTTGTTGTGTGTGCTTTTAAAGCAATGCTATTATGATTAATAACCATTTCAAATGAATAAATTTGTTTTTTAAGTACTTTATATCTCTTTAAATAATAAATTTTTGCTTTTTTTAATTATTGATCTTCTATTATTAGCAAAAATTACCATATATAACAATAACAAAAATTAAAGAATCCATTCAATTATTATTTTAAAAATAATAAACATTAAATTTAGGATATTATATTGTTAATTTCTTAACTACATAACAATTGTCCTATTTGTTTACCTATCCATCCCATCTATTTGCCTATTTATTTACCGTATCTACCCATTCACTCATTCATTCATTAATCTATCCATTCACTCACCTATTTGCTTAAATAAAACCTATTCAATATAAAGTAATATATTATCTTAACTTACTATCTATAAATTTGACATTAATAAAGTCAATTCATTTTTGAATTTGTTCAAAATTGGGTTTTCTTTAGCACGAACTAACTTCGATTTATGCTGTTTTTTTTTTTAGTACAAGTCGAATTTGGTTTGCACATTTTTAGATAGATTCGTGAAGAATAGAATATGGGTTCACAGAATATAAAGTAGTAGGAAGAATTCACGGGTATAGATTTATGGATTATGAGATGGGTGGATTTGCAGAGTATAGGGGTGGATTTATAGAGTGTTAAGTGTTAGGTTTGCAAAATGTAAAGGTTCGTGGATTATAAGGTGGGTTTATAAAATATTGAGTAGATGAGCTTGCAAATTGTAATTGGTTTCGCGAAATAGATGATGTTAAAAATATAAGATCTATAGCCAATCAGAATATGCATATACTGTATCTATAAATAAAAAATTTACACATTTAGATCTTTTTACAGGGGGGATACTTTGAAGAGCATTTTACGGTAGTCCTTCAAGCAGCGGTAGCTCTCTATTGATCTGTAAATCCTTAGGCAGTACGGGAAATAATCATTCCGATTGTCACCAAACACGATATATTGGTTCGGGAACGGGCAGGATGCGCCGGTGTTAAAAACAAAAAGAGGAAAATATTTATCCTAGATATACTGTAATCTTTTATGAACAAAGTTTTTTTTTTAAAAAAAAAAAAAAAGGAAAATCGTATCATTAATTTTTCAATACAATACTGTACTTTTCTGTAAATTCCAATAATTTTTATTGCGAAACGTTTTAACAGCTGAGAAATTTTATAATTGTAAATTTACAATTTTTTAAATGGTATTTTATTACGAAATGTTCTAATTGGTTGCGGTTCTTCCGTTTCCACGTCGGGAAAACGAAATTTCGGGTGACGAAGAATAATTCTCCAAATTATTTATCCTCGCCAATTTTCTTTTCGACCCACCAATATCAGCTTGCCACGCTAACAATATCTTCGATTGCCTGGCCATCTTTATGCTCCGAAGTTCTGACAAACAATAAACGTGTTCCAACAACCATTTCATCACCTCCGGCTTTCTTTCTTTCGTCGCTAAACACAATATATTAATGTTCTTTTCTTCGTCCCATATCCGTGCGTCCGCGCCCTTCTCCAACAACAATTTAATGGCTTCTATCGGCCAATTATAGTGTATAACCAGGAACAACGCAGTGGGAGCGTGGAATGTTTGATAAATTGTCTTTACAGTGCACGGTAAGTTTGGATTTGCACCCAGCTCCAGTAGAGCTTGGATTACAGGCTGTTTGCCTTCTGGGTTGGCGGCCAAATAATAGGAAAGCACCGTCCTACCATGCTTGTCAAGCGCGTTGATTGGACAAGCATTCTTGCATAGCATTTCTATCGTCTCTATTGTATACTTCACATTATCAATAACTTTATCTTTATCCGTTGCCATTTTTAACTCGATGTTATTAAATAAACGATGAAGGGCGGTTTTCTGATCTTTGTTTGTTGCTTTGAAATCCGCCTCATAGGCCTTTAGGGTTTCTAGCATCTTTATTAATACTTTCCCTTCACAGTAAGCTGATGCTATGTGTATCAAGGGTTCCGAAGTGTAATTGTAATCGTAGTTGCGTCTCGCCGACCCTCCTGAATCCAGATGAAATTGTAATCCTATCACATCACCGATCCCAACATGTATTCCCGCATCACATTGTTCGGACCCAACGAAATTTGAGCTATCTTGATTATCCTTGATATAGTTCTCGCAGAGCTCAGAACATGGTATCATTCCGGAATAGTCAACGCTCTTGTGAGACCTCCTAACTACACGGCGTACATTTGAATGAGGTAAGGGTAAAGTAGAAGCTCGAAATCGATTTTGTGGAGGTGGGTAACCTTGTTGTGATGATAGAAGTTGATAATCCTGTTTCAAGGTTTCCGAGGGATGTGCGGGGCTTTTTTGCGGAAATTTAGTAACCCTATTAAGAGAAGGAAGTGGATTTTTGGTAAAACCGTATGAACTTTCTGGAAGATCTAGAGGATTTACGGGCAAGTTAGGTGAGGTGAGGGATCTGCTATGAAACGAGCGTTGATTCTGGTTTGACCAATTTTGAGGAGGATGGTTCCATTGCGAATATGGCAAATTTTGTGGGCTATTGTTGAATGAATTATTGGGCATAAATGGTATATTATGATCTTTTTCTTGTTGAGAAATTGGTGATGATGGTGACGGATAGTGATTGTTTTGGTCGTGGCAAGGTATTTGCGAAAATGTTTGTCGATTGGGAAAAGAGTCATTCTTATTATCACTACTATTGTTAATTGCTTCTTTTGAGTCATTCGAAGTCACGAATGATACATTATCCGAATCAATTTCTCGGTCGCTCTATTTAAGTATTATGTATATGGTTAGTGTTGTAATTTAAAATTCGGGTATCAAGAGATGCACGCTACGCTTACACTTGAATGGCTGGCAAGATTGACCGTCCAATGATCGGATCCAATGGACCCTAAAATTATCAAACCATATTAACGTTTTGCACGGCAATAGAAGGAAGAAAAAAAAAAAAAAAAAATTTTTTTTTTTTTTTCCGCGTGGTGATCGATCATAAATGATACCGTTGTAAGTGGGCTCCAGGGACAAAGAATGCAATTGCAGAAGAACTTGAATCGCGGTCGGGCGATTTGAAGGTGTTGTATTCCAGCATCGGGAGTAGATCTGAATAAAAGACAAAGGGGTTCCAGAAATTGGTCTCTCTCGTACATTTTCGAGTATTTTCAAAGAAATCATGCTTTGGTTCTCCCTTAGAAATGGGGGGCAACAAGAGGATATCTCCCAGAACAACACACCAAGACTATAAATATCGGATCTCAAATCTAACTTATAGCGAGGATCAATAAAAACCTGTGGCTCCATGAAGGCAGGAATTCCAAAGATGTTACTTCGAGTCAACATAACGCTGTTGAGATTTTTGGATAATCCGAAATCGGCTATTTTTATGTTTCCATCGTGGATCAAAATGTTTTTTGTATGTTGTAAGAGATACACGGAATGGTTGATATCAAAACTATTGACAAAATGTGTGCACACGAATCTAAGTAAGTATTATTAATTATTACCAAATCACGATGAGCAACATTTAGCACATTGTGAAGGTATGACAGTCCTTCGGTCACTTGGATTGCAAGATTAATTTTTATATTCCAACAGAGTTCGTCTTTTTTCTTGATCAGATACTGCCTCAGATTTCCGTCGTTAGCAAGTTCCATCACTAGATAGTATAGATCGTTTTCCTCATCTGTGTATAACAAGATTTGGAGTTAACCGCGAAACCATTGTATCAGGGCATTTGTCGAAAACAGATGTTTAAAAATTCATTCTGACCACGGCTTATGCCAAACAATTCAATAATTCTTGGATTTTTTGCATTACTATGTAATTTTAACTAAGTTGAAAGATCGTTTCATCATATTAACGTTGTATAAAGGTGATGCGGCTTGATAACATCGATCGTATACACACACGCATATATATATTGATACCTCGTTGAGGAAATTTTTAATACAAGTGTTGTCGTCTTCCATTCCAATGGACACTTCTTTCATTACTACCGCCCCCAAGCTTCTACACGAATCGCATTTGTACACGAGACCGAATGCTCCCCTTCCGATCTTTGTCTTTCTTCTCAACTCCCTTATAGGTATGTCTTTTAACCCATGCTCAATAATTGCTGTTCGGTACCACTCTCTGTTAGGATCCATGCCATAAGTTTAGTTTGATTAAAAAGCGGCGATCACCTCTTATAAAAAATCTATTGTAATACACAACTAGGCTAGGTAATACAGGATTCCATTGTTTGTAGGCGTAAAAGGAAAGAGCTATACCAAATGTTATACTGATGCACGAAGTGCATGTATGTACAGTATATGTGCGCACGCTGAACGAGGCAGACAATTTAAAATGATCGACGATATACACGTACTACGTACTTTGTTATTATCTGTTACTGTGTAGTGTTACGTGCACAGAACTTTTCTTTCTTTTTTTTTTTCTTGATCATGAAAAAATTACATTATCACACAACAGTAGACCCTAGTGTTGTTACAAAACCCAGATCCCCTTATTGGACTAGTTTAACGGACGTGGCGAAATGGAAACCTGATGATGAATTTAATGTTGCCAAGGTGAATTTGAAAGAGAGACCCCTATTCCAAAATGATGATACTCCTCAGAACGAAATTGATAAAAGGGAATGCGAGGTGGTGGTTTGCCATGATATGGCCGGTGGTAGGTAGAATTTGAAATACGACAATTACTCGTATTAAAATTTAACCGATTGCGGAATGGATTGACTTAAGATTTTCTCTTGAACTCCTCAGGGTACCATGAAGATTTCTTCGATATTGGTTATAGCGTTCAGTATTGGCAATACGTGGACATTTTTATCTAGTAAATTTTTATCATTCCTATTCGTCGATCGAATTAACAAAAATTCAAGTTAATTATTTGCGTAATTCTCATAAATCTATTAGTTTTTCTCACCATCGATTAACCGTGCCGCCTTCACAATGGACAAATGCTGCGCATAGAAATGGTGTTAAAGTTCTTGGAACCTTCATTACCGAATGGCAGAGAGATATGCTGGAAAACGAATTATGGGTTCGTGGTCCTCACTCCAGCGTACCACTCTATGACAATGAGAATGTGAATCGGGAAATAGTCAGTACATTCTTTGCAGACAAGATGGGTAAGTTATTTTAGTAGATTGGGATTTGTGTCAAAATTTGTGCGATTACTTTTATCATTCTAATCTTTCCCACTCATCAAACCTTCCTTCAAACCTATTCGTCGTTCCGCGAAAAAGTTCAAATGGCTTTGTATTACAATTTCGATGGTTGGTTCATTAATATTGAATCGCCTTTGATCGGTGGATCTTCACACGCTCTCCAAGTTATTGAGTTCATGAAATACCTTACACAAGAGATGCATAGGTGCAAACCTGGATCGGTTGTTCTTTGGTTAGTCCTTTTTAGAGAATCGCGTGCGACAAGCATCTCATTGTTTCGATCAACATAGAAACCATCCGACTCAATTCGAGTAATGTTTTAATAGATTTTTCAATTCGGTTGATAAAAGGTATGATTCAATCACGAAAGAAGGAACTCTATCGTGGCAAGATCATCTGAACGACATGAATTACCCATTCTTTGACGTTACAGATGGAATTTTCATAAATTACACGTGGCCCGGACATTATCCGACTTTATCATCGCAGAAAGCTGGCCTCAGAAAACGTAATGTCTTTACGGGTATTGATGTTTGGGGACGTAATACATATGGTGGTGGTGGGTACGTATTTAAAATCACGCGAGCCTGATTGTTCATTTCTTTGACTCGTTTCGAAAAAAAAAAAAAACTGATTGTCTTACTTATTCAAATTCAGATTCACAACATACAAGGTGTTGTATATTCTTATAGCTAACATATTCACATCTGTGCATTAGACCCTCATCATCTCGTGCTTATCATCGATCATGAATTCCCTTTATTAATTGTAGGCATTAGAAGTAATTCAGAAGGCAAAAACATCGTGTGCGCTGTTTGCTCCGGGGTGGACTTATGAACATTTTGGAAAACAATCTTTCTGGGAAAACGATCGAAAATTCTGGATTGGTAATGCCGATAATAAAGTGGACAATGTGAAACAGGATAATCCAGACGAAGGTTCGATCATTAGCCGTATTATCAAGTTTCCGAAAAATATTACGGTATTGATGAACAATCTTTTTGCAGACAAGGGTTTGGCTGTTGCTCACTATATTACGCCTAGGCTTTCCCCTGGTGTCAAGAATTTTTACACCAATTTTGATCGGGGATGTGGATATAAATTTTTTATTGAAGGAAAGGTAGTTAGTTATTTTCAACGATGCCCACTACCATCGCATCAGTCACTTAAACACTATTATTCTCATTCACAGGAAGTCTTGGAACAGGAGTGGGCGCATCTTAGCCATCAATCCATTCAACCGTCCTCCGTGAAATCGGTTTTAAAGATTCTATCTTCTGAAGATGATCGTCTGCATTATAATCATGAAACTTCGAAAGATGTCAATTGGGAACTCACATTTGATCAGGCTTATAACGGGGGTACATCTGTCCTGGTCAAAGGAACTGATCAAGGACAAACGACTTTTGCATTGATACCATTGTTTGACCTAAATATAGCCATCTCTTCGCAAAACCATACCAGAGCAAGAATTACTTATTTGCCTAAGGATTATGATTTTATGGTAGGATTATATGTAAGGGTAGGAATAAATCGAAAGGGAAAAGATGACGCTTCTGATGATGATAAAATCGTGATCAACTTTTCCGACACTAATCTGGCTTCACAAGATCAAAATGAATTTTCGATTGTCTCTATCGAGGATGACGAGGTCCACCCTACAAAGGGCATTGTCTCCCAAAAGTTTCAAAAATTCGAGACATCCATCGTGTCGACGGAAAATGATTGGATCACCGCGGAAATTTCGATTCCACCCGATACATTTTCCTCATCAAAGACGGATTTACCTGTCGAACTTTTTATACAGGAGCTAGGTGTGCTCGTCGTTCGCCAGTCATTTCCGATAAGACATGAAGAACAATCACCTACTTCGGAGCCGAAAGAGACGGAACCACCCTCCCCTAGCGTAATCCTGTATGTGGGAGAATTATCTGTATCGACTTCACCACATTACATATTTAATTCGGAAGTACAAAATGTATTCTGGAATAATCGCACATTACGCATTGAACATATGGAATTCAAAGGCTTATTGCGAATTTCAGGAACGGTAGAGTGGGAGTTGGGTATTCAAGTAACTGATAATTCCATTCGGAATTCGTTATCTGATGTAGATAAGGTTAACTCGTTTGGATATTATTACATATATGTCGCAACTCACTCATCACAAAAGAGGGGACCGGAGGTCGGTGAATTGACATTTTTAGGAGTGTCCGACGTTAATATGTTTGTTATTGCAGGATATGATGTTCCCGTGTCTAAGATCGAAAAGGACACGGTGTTATCGGTTTGGGTTCAGGGTGTAAGAGAGACTGATGGAAAGTGCGAACGGCCGGAAAAATGGAAGAAATGCGAAATAGCCTTATCGTCATATGTTGTTCATGGAATTTTGTGAATTCCTGAGAGTTATAAAGCAAAACTTGTAAATTCTTTGTTTTACAGATGACCTTTATAACAAAGTAAATTATAAATTCCAAACTTCGAATCCTAAGCTTGCAGTTCTAAAACTAACATTCTTTGAATTATAAATGGTTTGGCAGTATCATCATGCCCTTTTAGTTTTATTCTATTCGGTTCTAAGAAAATTTTTAATCATTATTTTTTATTTGAAACTATATTACATCTGTTGGACACTGAGACTTCCGCTTCTGTTAAATTTGTTTAACTGAAAGAAAATAAATACCGAAATTAATGGAAAAACCTACCTCCATTTTCCTGAATAGTAGACTCTCTCGAAACTTATAGACAAGAAATTTGTTAACAACTTAATCTACCAATAATCACCATCTTATCCTTATTAATGAACACAAGAAGGATATACAGTAACCTAGAAGGTCTATATCTCGAAACTCGAGCTTGATAATTATCAGATCTCTGGAATCAATGATAAACTCACGAAACTACAAAAATATAACATAATAATATTATTTATAATCTGATATTACCTTTAATTACTTTACTTAACATCTATAAATGTCAGTTAATGATTATACTTAAATCTGTTTAGGCTATTTGATATTTCATCAATTATTGTAAAAGAAATTATCAATATAGTATAAAAAATAACAAAAAAAAAATTCTTAATACAAGAATTTATCAATATACTGTATTTCTAAAAAAAAAAAAAAAAAACTATCTAACAAATTGTTTTCTTGAAAAAATATAAGTTATATTATATGAATAATACTTGAATTTAAATTATTATTACGATCTATTTATCTATTTTTATATTATATCTAAAATTGAACAAGTTAAAGAAATAAAATTTTAAACTATTATTATAACCTATTTTATTAACTTTTATATTATATTTAAATTAAACAAGTTAAAAAAATAAATTGTTAATTTTTTAATTTAAGTTATTTATTTAATTAAATATTTTTCTAATTAAATTAAATATAGTATATAATAAAGATAAGAAAATTATAAAATATTTTCAAATATCTAGTTTATAAGAATTTTTTTAAATAGTTATCTTGATCTTATTTATTAACTTAATAAAGTAATATATAATTTTATATTATAGAAATTATAAGTAATATTATAAGTAATATTATATATACTATTAAATTTCTTAGAACCAATTAAATAATCTAAAAAATCCATCAAATAACTTGTTGCTACTTCACATTAAGAAAGAACTAACTTATTAAAGTAAAGTTAGTACTAGATTTAAGTAAAAAGATATAAAAAATATTTGTGTTTTCCATTATAAAGTATTTTATATATTAATTAATTAAATCCATATAATAGTTTTTAATAGCTTATTTATTAACCTAAATTATAAAATTCAAATATGCTTTTTTATATTTGTGATATTTTTTCCTAACAATTTTTTATTTGGGTTTTATATTTAAAATACTTCGTTTTTGACTTTTTAAATTAAATAAAAATATTTTTTAATTATAAAATATTTTAGTTATATAGTTTTTAGTATAATAATACAATATTTTAAATTAATCAATAAATTGTTTTAACAAGTATTTTAAAGATATCCTTAATAAAAAGTTTAAGTCATTAATAGTGTTTTATAATACATTATTGATTATTGTTATTTATGCTTAAACTTATTTTTTATTAAAAATAATATATTAAAAATTATTTCTTTAATTATTAAGAAAAAAAACTTAAAAATCCTAGTTTTCTTTTTAAAAAGCTCTTTTATTTTCTAAAAAATTTATTAAAAAGCAAATATCTTATTTTATACTCTTCAGTTACCTTTTAGCATTATAATTATTTTTCTTGAAAAATTAATTCAATTAAAAAAATATCATCTTTATAAATTTTTCTTTTTTATTATAAATAATATTATTAAGACATGTAATTATAAATAATAAAAGCTTAATTATATTTAAAAACTAATATATTTCATATTAATTAATAATCTTTAATAAATATTAAATTACAGTATATCTATAGAAATAAACTACAGATAATAATATTTATAATAAGAAAGTATTAATCTAAATTATAAAAGAACTAAAATTATTTTCAAAATTGTACTTAAAGTTTAACATTAAACTAAAATAAATAAGTTTGTTAATATTTTAGCTTTAATAATACTATAAATAGTATAGTCTATATTATATTTAATAAAGCATATATAACTAATTTAATATTAAGTTAAAAAAAAATAAAATAAATATTAAATTATTCAAAAATTTAAAATTAAATTAAAATATCAATATTTTTTAAAAAAATTATGAAAGTAAGAATTTTAAGCAAATAATAATAGTTGATAAAAAGAAAAATAAATTCTTTAATATAATAAATTTTTATAAAATTTACTTTATAAATAAAGAAAAGTCTTTAAATATTTTATAATTAATCCTTTTTTCTTTTATACTTTCTTAATATTGTTAATAAAAATATTACTTGAATCATTATTAATTATTAAATTTTTAATTAAAAAAATTTATAAATAAAAAGAAAAGTATAATAATATCTCTTCAAATTATTTTAAAAATAATAGTATATAGTAATTTTATTAATTAAAAATTAAAAATTTTTAATAAAAATTTTTATATATAATCAAATAATTAATAAAAAAAGTTTTTGACCTATGGATCTATAGACAATAGTTAGTGCTCAGCAGGTCAGAACACAAGATACCAGTTCAACTTCTGGTGAAGGCAGCTAAATAGAATTAATACGATATCTGATGCCATAACCTATAATGTGCTGTTTCCCATAAAAAGCCATTTCACACGCTGGTCCAATGGGCATTGGGATTGTAGTCTCCAGAAAAGGTTCGTGATATGACTATCGTCTGATAAAAGTATGATAGTCACCAAGATCAGTAACATAAAGCACTAAGCCCTTCAGGGATCATTGATGGAACTTTAACGAGCGATGTAAGCTAATCACTGGTACTATCTTTGTGTAGGAATTGCACACTGCTTGATGAATAATTCCTAGATTTGACAACTAACGCCAATTGAGAACCCGATGGATAAGTCTACTAGGAGATTCAGGAGTTGCGTCTCTATTGGTGAATAATCCCTAGGTTTGGTAGCATGTGCCAACCATTGGATGAAGTTCTTGAAGCATTAACTAGGCAGTGCACAGATGCATTTAAATCTATTCGCAGCTGCAGGGACCAAAGATGTGATTAAGAGGTGGTAAGGTATAGAAGGTTATCATGGGTCCTAGTAAGGAGTAGAATGTCAGGATCTAGATTAGGTTAAATGGTTTAAAACTAGTGATAGGATTTTCACCTCCTAAAGATCCAACCTGGAATGCGGACCTACCTACTGGGTATAAGTTGGTATAACCGAGTAAGACTATAGATAATAGGAGCGAGTTAACTTAAATAGATTGTTATAGTCATGTAATGGGTTTAATTCCTTAATAAACATATGCTATTAGCACCTTTCACCTCCCCCAAAAAAAATAAATAAAGTTTTTATTAATAAGTATTAATTTTATACTATATTAAAGATATTATAATTTATATAAACAAAAAATATATTTGGTTTTTAAAAAATAAATAACTATTAATTATAAAATATATTTATATTTAATTTTGTAATTTTGTAATAAAATAAAGAAAATAATTTTTTATATCAACTCTTTCTATTAATCTTCTGACCACATACAAAAAATATGTTTGCAAGAAGTTTTTATATTTCTTGACTAATATAGTTTTTTCACTTTCCTTAAAACAACTTGAAGTTTATCTTCAAGAGTCACTATTACTTTCCATCACTTGTTTATAAACTCCTTTAAATAAAAACTTGACCTTCTAGTGACTTAAATAAACTCAAGCATATACTTTTTCTATTAAAGGTAAGAAAATTCTAGAAAGTAAAAGGATCAACTTATGGAAATAGAGGTTTTCTAAATAAAGAAAGTCTTATTATCTATCTTCTCACATATTGCCTCCTACCCTCTTAGAGTGTCTATAGTTTTTTACAATTTTTTTGAAAAATTTTGCCTATCTCAGCTTGATCCTGAATTTCTGATAACACAATATCACCTGACTTCTGATTAATTAATATGTAATATATTGGTAATAAAATATAAACAAGGTTCCATTGGCTATACCCATATATTCTAATAATATATTGGTGAAAGAAAAAGAAATCAAAGATATAAACTTCTTCACTTCTCCAAATGAAGTTTAACTAAAACAAAAAAATTATAAGATTATTAAAATAGATATTAAATTTCCTAGATAGTAAAAAGATAATTATTTGTTTAAGCTAAGATCTTCAATTTCTTAATATTCTAATCAGGAAAAGTATATGAAGGAAATTATTTTCTTATTCTAGTTAGACTATAAAATCGAAAAGTAAAGGAATATAAAATACCGCCCTTTTTTAGAATTGAGAATTTTTTTTTCCAGACATTGTATAATAATATTGTAATCAAAATAAATATTACTAAAATTTCTTTAACTAGGCATGGCTGCTAGAAGATATTAGGAGTTACTCAACAAAACTAAAAAGCCATATAAGAATATGAGGTCTATTATTAATCTTCTTTTTCTGCGCAGGTAAATACAAAATCAAAACTAAAAGAAAGGAAGTATTGAGAAAGACACAAGATCTGAGTAGAAAATAAGTACCTAGATGGTTACAAGAAAATAATTAAGATTATAAATAGATAAGTTCTTCGGATAGTCAAGAAGAAAAAGAATATTTCAAAAGGTTTAATTTTTAATAAGAAGTGGTTTTTAGCAAAGGTTCTCAGAAGAATATGGAACATTTTTATTTTTATTTTTTTTTCCTTTTTATATAATGCATTTGTATAGTTTTAGATATTTCCTTTTCTTTTTATTTTTTTCCCCTTTTTATAGTTTTTCAAATTCAGTTTCTTGGAGGATAATAAGTAGTGACAACTTGCTAGTAATGATAAGTAAATTAGAAGAGTATTCACTTAAAATCTACCATA